CCAGTGTCAAACTTGATAAAATCAGTAATCTTGCCAGTATCCAAGTCAATCTGGATGGTGTCATTGACCTTGATGAGGGGATCAGGGTAGCGAATGGTGCGAGCATCATGGGTCACCAGATGTGGGATCCCCTTTGTGCCCACAAAGATCTTCCTTACTTTGCATAGCTTATACTTGGCCTCCTCAGGTGTAATACGGTGAACAGCAAAGCGCCCCTTGGTGTCATAGATCAGACGGAAATTCTCCGCAGTCTTGTCAATGCTGATAACATCCATGAAACCAGCAGGGTAGGTTATATCAGTTCGCACTTTGCCATCAATCTTAATGAAGCGCTGCATGCAGATCTTCTTCACTTTATCGCCAGTCAGGGCGTACTTAAGTCTGTTCCTCAGGAAGATGATGAGAGGCAGACATTCTCTCAGCTTGTGGGGCCCGGTAGATGGACGAGGAGCAAACACCCCGGTCAGTTTATCCAGCATCCAATGCTTGGGAGCAGCTACCCGCTTCAGATGCTTCTTAGGACCGCGAGCCATGGCTGCGCCGGGAACGGAAAGAGCACCTGAAAATTTAGATGGTACCAAACCCTGAATATATTTTGTTTCTTCCTATATATTCATACTATTCATACCTATAATGAAGTTTAGTTTATAAGCTAACCCTAGTAAGATGATAATAAAGTAGGATTGTTATACCAATATATTGTCATAAAAATTATGTCAGTGTAGTCTTCCTCACAAAATACCTTATAATATCACCTTTCCTTTCCTTCTTCATTTTTTTTTCTGGTGCCAGGAATTGGACTCAGGACCTTGCACTTGCCAAGCAGGTGCTCTGCCGCTGAGCTGTATCCCTGGTCCTGCCTTACACCTTCTTGTGATGACAGATGATTCAGAGAGTTATATGGCACTAGGCCACCATGAACTTGAGCACAAATTCTGTGACATCTCCCAGCAGTGGGCTGATAACTGAGAGGTCTACCACCAGGTCACTCTGAGTCAGGTAGCTTCTACAGCGCGGACATTCTGCATATGGGGGTGAGCCTCTTTACCAAATTTCTTTGCGGAGAGTTGTGCCACGTGGCGCTGAGAGGCATGATATACATGAGTCCTGGCATCTGTCACTCTTGCACAGGCTTGTTTTGCAAGTCCTACTTAGCTCTTGTCATCCCCAGGGTTTATTTTCTGAAAATAGGTTGTTTTTTGCCTTTGGCTTGTTTTCTTTCCCTTTGCTGCCATTAATCATGAGATAATGGTTTTTTAAATAACTTGAATTGTTTTAAAACACATGAGCCCGTAGTGTAGTCTGGGAATATGGTTCTTTGGGTCTAGATTGCAACATGCCTGCCAGCCTGGAGCAGTGTGAGATTTCCAGAGACGCTGGTATGCATTGAGTTCTGGGACCCAGTGGGAATTTGATTTCTACCCACCATCAAGACGACTCCTGATCTTGTTTGAGAACAAAATAGGAATGGCGAAGTGCTCCCAGAGGCTTTGGGGCCGGGCATGCTGTCCATTTTCAAGAGGAAGGAAGGCCCTCTACGTAGGAGCCTTCGGGTTCTCAGATACGAGGCACCATGGGTATGAGGGCAGCTCAGCAAGCTGCTCACCACTTGCAGCAGGCCTTGGCGGCTGCAGGGTGAATGCCTTTCCGTCTCTAAACAGCTTGCAGCTGTAGCCTTGGGTGCTACAGCTATGTTTGCTAACCAATAACTTGTCATGCGCTGCCTGAGCTGCACAAACTGCGTATTCCACCTCCATCCCCAACACCTGGACCAAGTGTTCCCATCTCTGCAGCTTTGATCCTGAGGGACAAATCAGGTTAGGTCAGCAGGAAAACCCATCCTCATTCCTCTCATAGCACAGGGGATCTCTGTCACCAAGAACTCTGTTTCCCCTGAATCACTCTGCAGCCTATGTGAGTTCTTTTTTTTTTTTTTTTTTTGTATTTAGTGCAGGGTCTACAGGGTCTGTAGGGCCTCACTACACAGATCGGTCTTGTAGTGATCCTCCTATTTTCAGCTTCCCAAGTGCTAGGATTACAGACGCATGCCACCACACCCAGTCTCAACTTATGTGAGTTCGGTGTTCTTGCAAGCTAGCAAATTTCGCAAAGAAACAGGTTCCTATTTCATATACTGTATCAGTTTCTTAAGAGAAAAGGAGTTCACTAAATGTTTCTGGACTCCCACATGTGAACCGGCAAGACCTCTGCCCTTAGAACTGTACCACCATTATCCCCAGCCTGGGTGACAGAGCCTTCACTGGCTCCAATGTATTCTGCTATTTTTTGTTTCCTTGAAACATACATTTTCCCCCTCTGTTTTCTCAACAGCTAGATCTGCCAGTGAGCCTCAGGCTTTGGAAACTGAAGAGGTAAGAATTCTGAATATTTTCTTCTAAGACTGACTTTAACAAGAACTTCAAGATGGGTCAAATATATCTTAAGAGGTTCCATAGATGGAAGCATTTAAGCGTGTGATGTTTGGTAGAGGAGAAACACTCCTGGAGTCTTTAAAAATGTTAACATGACTTTGGGATTTAAAGAATTCATTAAAATTTCTTTTTAATGAGAGTTAAAATTGGATTTTCACCCGGATTTTCCAATTTCTTCTAAAAATCTAAGCTGGAAAACTTTTGAAGCTACTGCTTTAACAAATCATAGCCTTATGGCAGCAAACATGATTAATGCGCTGTAGACATTGAGGACAGAGCCTGCGCCAGACAGAAGCCCAGACCAGATTAGATCAAAGAAGGTAAACCCTGCTCCTGCAGGCTGTTCGCAGACAGTGTGAGCTTGCTTTCCTGACAAGCCCAACAACAGTAACAAGAATAACAACAACCAAAAGATCAGCCTGTGTCTGGTGGTGTCTCTTCTGGAGGAAGCTTTGCCCATTGAAAATAGCCAAAGCCATTGGAATCTGGTTGCAGACTTGAAAGTCATCACTGTGATCCTGAGAGAGATTAGCTCTCTGCTCCAACCAAGACACACAGCTTCTGCTAGTCAATGATTTAAGCTCCCCACGCCGACTCCCTTCTACAATTTAACTTCATTAGGAAGAACTTCAAGTTTATACCCAAGCAGAGACAATTCTTTCCTTAACACCCAATTTCGATAGTTAGCAACTCGGGTCCAGTATGTCGTATTTTTACTCCTATACACCTCCCTTTTTTGCTCAAGGATTTTACTGTATGACAGGCTGAATCTGATTGCTGAGTTTCTCATTTTTATTTACATGAGTGTTTAATGGCTACAGAAAATGCTAATGAAAAGTAAAACCTGCTTTTAACTGAATCAGTTTACTGGCTTCCATCAGTTTGTTGGTGATAGTAATTTGTTCACTCATGCAGCAAATATTTAGCCCTAATTAGGCAGCAGACCTTCCTCAGGATAAGAGGGACGATCATCCTGAACTCATGTTTATGAGCTTCCCAAATCGGAACTGAAGGTCTCCAGATGAGGTCATCCATTAGTCACACGCTAACAGAATAAAATGAAGACGCTCAGCATCTGACTGTAATGGTTACATGTAAACATTAGAGCCCACAATTTCAAAATGCCATAATTTCTGAAAGCTGACTTTGACATATATTCATTTTTAAATGTACTGGCTCTGTGCAAACCCTACCTGGAACAAGCCTTCTCTGAGTCCTCCCCACCGATCTAGCTTTCTCTTTTCTCCTGTTTGTGCAGCGATCTACCTCCCTCTCTGGCAAGAAGAGCTCAGAGAGCAGGCCTGGTTTCTGACTTGTTAATGATCTTGCCTCCAGCGTGCAGCCAGCATGTCTGGCACTTGTTGTATATTTAATGAAACTGTTGGATGAATGAACAAAAGAATAAGGGGCAGATGCTGGAAATCTGAAGATGGCAAACACACAAGGTTGGCCACAGAGCTGCCCCGCTTCATGGAGGCAAACTGTGGCCCAACTTGAGGCCTCTGTGTTAGGGCAGAGCAGCTCATGTGGGTGTAGGAGCACAGGGCTGGCCTGGCAGTTGCTGTGGGCAAAGCCGCATGAGCACAGTGGTGCAGAGTGCCCTCGGCCAGAGAGAGAAGAGAGGAGAGCAGAGGCTCCAGGCGTAAGAAAGAGTGTGTGAGAGCCAGAGGCCCCAAAGGGCCTGGGGTGCTCTGAGAGACTAGGAGCAGCAGGGTGTGGCTAGAAAATAGCAGATGAGGAGTGGCCTGGGAAGTAGGGATCCCCGAAAGGACCCTGCGTGCTGTCTGTGCCCAAGCTCCTGGCTTCTCTGCTGCGAGGTAGGCAACAAGGGACATGGAATGGGGATTTGCTTTGAAAGGATAATTCCTTACATAGCAGGATGTATGGAAAGAAAGGAGGCGGCTGGGGGGTGGGAGAGCCTTGGGCCTACAAAGGATGGGCTGGATTTGGAAGGGCTGATGGACTTGGGAGTGGAGAAGAGGAAGCCATCCAGAGTAACTCCCAGATGTCTCTTTGGGAAGGTGGGATGGGGAGGGATAGCACAGCTGTAAACACTGAAAGAGAAGATGGGATTCAGATCTGGGTGGCCTCCTATGCGTGGCACGCTCTCAGCCTGGCAGGTGGTGGCCATGTGTTACAGTCTCCAGGGCCGCTTTGAAAAGTGGGAACACACGAACCCTCCCCAGACCCGTGAGCCAGAATCTTTAGTGGAGAACCCTGAACAGCTGTCATTTCTGAATCTCCCCAGATGATTTAGAAGTGTAGCTGGAGTTGAGAGTCTGGGCCAGAGCTTGCTAGCAGAACCCTTGCTTGTGTGTATGCTTTTAAGGCCAGGCATAACGTCTCATACCCTATAATCACACTACTCCAGTATGAGGACAATAGCATTCAAGTGAAGGCTAAGGCATCCCTACAATCTACCCAAATATGGCTAATAACAAGAGCTGTTTTATTTATTTATTTATTTGGCGGAACTGGGGATTGAACTCAGGCCCCTGCGCTTGCCAGGGAAGCATTTATTGCACTGAGCCATCTCCCCGGCCCCTGCAAGAGCTGTTTTATAAGCATCTGATATTCCTTGATGTTTGTGTTGATTTCTTTCATGCTAATTGGTGGGCCAATATTTTTCAAATTGATCCATCCAGGGTTTCTCAGTGGGGGTTGCTAATACTTTGATGGAAGGATTTTTCACTGTGGTCTTTGGGACTCTACTGACTAGAAGATGTCTCCTAGTCATTGTGACATACAGAATGCCACAGAGAGACATTGAGAACTACCGTGTCTTAGCACACCACTTAAAGGAGATTACCTGGAATTTTCCACTGCCACTTAAAAGCACTTTTCCTTCATGCAAAATTACTTATTCTGGTTATGCTTAGTGGTTTTGGGTATAAGTGATCTTGGTGCTTAACGAATGAAAGAAAGCAACTAAATGAAGGTGGACAAGTAAAAGGACCTATTGTTTTGTACTCCCAGGGACTATGAGTGTATTTGGTCTAGTACTAAATCTATTTTTTTTAAGTCTGCAGAGAGAAGCAAATTAAACACGAGGTAAGTGATGGTTAAATATTGGGTCTGAAGAGGCTACTGAGGCATCATGTAGCCTCTTGGACCACAGCAGTGATGAAAGGTATCTTAGTTTTCTATTGCTTCTGTGACACATAACCAACTTGGTGGCTTGACGCAATACACATTGGACAGTTGTATGGGTTGGTTCTACAGGGATCTCACTGGACTCAGAGCTGCCTTTTCAAGGCCCTAGAGAGATCCATTTCCTTGTCTTTTCCAGCTTCTACAGGCCACCTCCCTCCATCTTCACAGCCTGAACATTGCAGTTCTGTATGCTTTGTACATTGTCACATCTCCTTGCTCTGAACTCAGCCAGCGAGGTTCTCTGGTTGTTAAGGATCCATGTGATAAGGTTGGGCACACCTGGATAAGCCCGGATAATCTCCTCATCATAAAGTCCTCAGTTTAATCGAATCTTCAAAGTCCCTGGATCCAGATAAGGTTACACATTTACAGGTGCTTCGGGGACGTAGTTGGGAGCTACGATTCTGCCTGCTACAAAGTAAAGCGATTAAGTGTTCAGAAAGGTAGTTAGGCTTTGGAAAGTAGACATAGGATCTTGTAACATCCAATTATGCAGAATTGGGCAGGTTCTCGAATTCCTAAGTTAAAGAAGCAAGTTCTGGTCTTGGCTCTGTAATTTCTATTTTATAGGCCCAGGCTTTTGGGGTTTCTTGGAGTATTTGGCATTGAGCAAGTGGACAGGTTGAAGTCTGATGGCGCTTTCTTGGCCTGACTTTCTAGTCCTAGAGGTGTGGTGTGTGGCGAGTTTGCTGCTCTTGGCATTTCTCCAACTCCAGAGAGTCTGCCTGGCTCTTGCAGGTGCCAAGGTATTTGAATAGGACCAAAGAAAAGTGAGGCTCTTATGTCTGCCTGTCATAGTATGTGTTATTTATTAGGCTCTAAAATTTGGAAATTGGGGGTAAAATAATGTAATATTTCAGGACTGCATGCAGTGTTATTATAACCACCTTCAAGGCATAGTTTAATTTTCTCCATTTATTAGATAGATAGGTCATCCCTGCAAAGCAAAAAACCATTTCTTGCCTGGTGAATAAAGTGGACTACTGAGCTATGTGTTGAAAACCATCTTTGGAGTGGACTGTGGCTGGAATTTTGGGTGCAGATTTTTCAGGGTTTTTTTTTGTTGTTGTTGTTGCTGTTGTTACAACTCACCTTTCTCACCATTCTTAGACATTCCAGCACCACGGCTCTGAAGTACAAACATAGGGCAACCAACTGTCCTGCATGGCCTAGGACTGAGGGGTTTGCTGGGACATAGGACTTTCAGTACTAAAACCAGGAGAAACCCAGGATATTAAGATAGGTGGTCACCCTAGATGTCTAACAAAATGCCTCCAATAGAAAGAAGCCCCAAAATGTGTTGCTGGACTGTTAAAACAGAAATTTTAATTGAACTAAATAATGAAGACAACAACCATGTTTAAGTTGAAAATGGCATGAATCCAACTCTTCTGACAAACTAACCCTGTCTACAGTTAATCCTTCATGTTCATAAATTCTCTGCCTATGGATTCAACCAACTGCAGATGAAAAATATTTGGAAAAAAATTGCTTTTGCGCTATGTACAGACTTTTTTTCTTGTTCTTGATCCCCAAATAATCCTGTATCATAACAGTTTACAAGCTTTTGCATTATAGGAAATATCCTAGAAATGATAGGAATATATGGGAAGATATAGTAGGTTTCATGTATGCACTATACCATTTAATTTAAGGAACTTGAGTATCACAGATTTCATATCTTCCATGAATACTGAGAGATGACTATACATGTTGATCCAAACTGACTTTCAAAAAAGTCCTAGGACCTGGGGCTAAGAGGAGGTGGCACTGTTTGTGAAATCGCAGGTGCTGATTAAGCACTGAAGCCCTTCAGTTATGCACTGTAACCAGGACACTCCTGCATGTCGCCTCTGATGACCGAAACTTGAATAACTGAGTGAATAACTTCTGGGCTCTCTGAATCTTGTTCAGCGTGTCAGCCTGGATGGAGTGAGAAAACCCAGATTTGCCAGGGCAGTGCAGAGCCCTCTGGGCTTTGAGCGCGGCTTTGGTGTAAAGAAATGGATCAACCCTGAACACACACACACACACACACACACACACACGCACACATGCACACACATGCATGGACACACATGCATGCACACACAGGACAGCAGAGATGGTTTAGGAAGACATCATTATGAGGCAGACTCCAGTACGCCCAAGGAGAGAGGACAAGAGCAGATAATGGCTTGCACTCCTAGCTGGCTTTAAGAACTCCGTGTACCACAGTCATAACCCCAGCATGGTGGGAGGCTGAAGCAAGAAAATGACAAGTTTGAGTCCAGCCTGGGCAATTTAGTGACTTAGCAAGACAATGTCTCAAAATTAAAACAAAACAAAACCCTCCCTGCTTCCACAGAGCCCACTGGTGGGCATCGTATACTGCCGATGATGCTGTGCTCAGTCAAGCCCCTGCCCAGCCCCTCCTCTCTGCTCCCTCTGTATCTGGCCCCACGCCATCACCCATTATCCATAGTATTTTTATTCTCTAAGCCATTGGGACTAAGTAAAGAAAACTGCTAATTGTACTGAAAAGAGCAATAAGTTGGCTTCCCCAGAATAGGCATTCATTCAGCTTTTAGGAACTGGCAGTCTTTTTTTTAATGTATTTCATCATTTCTCATCTTTCAAACTACCCTAGTTGTTAGATGCAAAGAATTCTCTTTCAATTATTCCCCCCACGCACACTGAGAAAAGATTCAGCACTATCAGCCATTGAGCTAAGATCTAGATTTCTGATAATAATAGGTTCTAGACAGAATTGTGAGTTACTTTGATACTGGGTTTATTCTTTCTAGGACTTCTGAGGCTGGTTATATTTCATTAAGACTAGCCTTGGGACTGAGGATGTGGCTCAGAGGTAGACTGTTTCCCAAGTATCAGAGAGAACTCAAGTTTAATTTCCAGTGCTGAAAAAGGAAGGAAAGGAAAGAGAGGGGAAGGAAGAGGGGAGGGGAGGAAAGGGAAGGGTCATTCAGCTTTAAACTTCTACTGATTTTTGTGAATCAACAAATTCCATGAAAAATTAAATCAGATCCTTATGCTGTCATTTAAACAGATTTGCTTAGTCTTTTCCAAAGAGAAATTATAGTGGAAGTATAAATAATAGATCAAAAAGACTACTTCTCTGAGTGTTGGGTTTCCTATGAGGGCGATAGAACTGGATAGAGGTGATATTTTCATAGCTTTGTGAATGTCCTAAATGGCTTTGACCCATGTGCTTCAAGATGGTTAATTTTGTATTATGTGAATTTTAACTCAAAAACAAACAGGTTCATGACTGACCTTCAAGAGGAGGAACATAAGCCTTCTTGTGTCTACCTCCAAATTCTAGAAGTCTGTATCCACTTGAACACACTTAAATTTCTGGACCTAAATTATTATTCTATTCTATTCCATTGTCAGAAAAAGATATTTGGACTCATAAGGACTTGCAAGGTAGAATTAAATAAGGACACTGTCAAGGGGCTGAGGAGAAAACATGTTTGAGAGCTGAGACACTATTTGTAAGATGTATGGTTTTTGTTTCTGATTTTATTGGCTGGACTATCCTTAGCAAAGTTGTTCAAAATGAAATGGAGTTTTGTAGTTTAACAATTTAAAGCACTGGGCTTTCTTCCATGTATCATGGGATAGAAGCTATCTACTAGGCTGGAAAGGTTTTAATAGTCTGTAGGAGTATACTGTAACTGGAAATGATAAAATGGAAAGAATCCAGACATGATAACTTTAATGAAATGTGATCATGTAGCAAATTTCATATATAGAAATATCTTTTATTAAACTATCTCCTTAGCTATCCCAAGAGCCATCACCTGATGAGGACTTGTTTCAAAGGATGATGCGCAGAAGTTCAAAAGAAATCCTGGGTTTAATTATGAAACACTGGGGCTTTAACTTCCATCTAGATTTAGAGGCAACCTTTCTACAGAGGTGTAGCTAGGCAAACACTATAGCACTTTGCCTAGGCAGAGCATTCAAAGTTCATAGGCGTGGTATCATGTTTTAAAATGCTGCGTATCTCTTTTAGCTTTGGCATATGCTGCCGGGTAACCTTTATTTTCTTAGAAAACATCACACAGCCCCTCAGCTGTCCCTTGCTGTGGTTCCTCAGAGCCCAGCATCCCAGTGTTACTTGGGTTGAATGCTCAGGGAAATTGTCACATCGCTGAGAGGTGGTCATGCACACCACGTGCGTCTTAATTGTTGGGAATTAGGACAGTAGACTTCATTTTTGATGTGCGTATGCATAACGGTTTAAATTCATACCTCAGCAGGTGGAAACGAACATTTCTCGGTATGACTCATTAAAAAACGTATATTGACACAGAAGAAAATGAATGATACTATTGTTTAGCGGTATTAATTTTACTTGACTAATTAAGTGGTAACTAAAAATAGCTGTTTTGATCAACAAGAAGAAATTTTTCCAAGTTTTACAGGCACCTAACCCTACAGTCCATGTACACTGTGCTCCTTTCCTGTGATAACAATGATTTTAATATTTTATCAGTTTTTTAAATTATGAAAAGAATATATATAAAAGAGTTTTAAAATTCAAGTGGTAAAGATGGGCACGAATAAAAATTCAAAGTTTTTCTGCCCCCTCCAGCTTCTTGTCTCACCCCGTGGAGGCCGCCACTGGTAATAGTTTCTTCTGTATGTTCCAGAAATTCTCTGGCTCCTGGTTAATCTGGATGGAAAAGGTGGCACATTAGGCACCACTGTACCGTCTGTTTGAAGCTTCTCTTTGGAGTTCAGCCTTGTACTTTTGAAACGCTATTTGCTGCCTCTTTTTCAAATGAGCCTTTTAAAACTGAAAGAGTAAAAATGTCAAAACCAAAGTGCTGCTAATGCTGCCGAGGGCTGCGGGCGGGCGGGCGTGGGGAGCTGCCGCAGAAGAATGCTAATGTGTAATCTTAGTCCCAGTGACATTTCCATATGAAACGACAGCCCAACCGCATGCAGTTCCTTATGAGTCTCAAGTCATCTGGAGTGCATTATCTCCCTGTACCCTTCTGATGACCCTGCAAGACAGGAACTGTTTATTTTATAAAAGAGGAAGCTGGGGCTCTCAGAGGTTAAGGAACTTGCTCATGGTCACACAGCTGACCAGGGACAGCATCAGGACTGGAAGCCAAGTTTCTTCCTAGACCACATTAGTGACTGCGAGGATGCGAGAAGTTTAGCAGCGTCTCCACGGCTTCTGCGGAGACACACGGGGGGGGGGGGGGGGAGCGCAGTTTCAAGATGGGGCTGTCGTCCTTTTGCCTGTGCTTGGTAGGTGCAGTGTTTAAGGCGGCACCCAAACGAGGACAGCCAGCTTCCTCCTCAGTTTCCCCAGGCGCTGGTCTGCTCCCGTTGTGTCTGTTCGTCTAGGCCCTGAGGGTGGAGACTTGACCCAGGCTGATGAAACCATAATATTTCTTTTCTTTTCATATTTTTTCTGTTTGTGGCCGGCTCAGCCCGCCCTGGGAGCGGGTCTGGTGCAGCATGTGGTGCTGGAATTGAATCACAGTCCCTGCTCTTTGCCTAAGCCTGCCTCAGCAGGCGCTTTAGACCGCTGAGCTACCTCGCCACCCCTGAGCCATAATATTCCATCCCCACACTACCAGGGTTGTTCAGAGAGTGGACATGAGCCCAGCAGGGACCAGCGCTCCTCCCTCCAGCTTCTCCAGCTCAGGCTTCTTCTGCCCAACACCGTTGTCCCTGATGTGGAGGCTTAGGGATCCAACAAGGCCATGTTCCAGTCTGCTGAGAAAATGAAGTCAGTGAACAGAGAGGAAGGTGTAGCTGGGAGGCCAGAAGAGGAGAGGAAGAAAAGAGAGAGGACAATGTGCAGGTGAACGGAGGAGCGGAAACCTGCCTGGCAGCCGTGGCTGTTCACAACTTCAGCCAGTCCATTTCTATTTCTTGTCTAAGCTAATTCGAGGTGTTACTGAAACTGTCCAGATTGGGGTCTCCAGGCCTTAGTTTCTCTCCCTGTAAGTAGGGTTTGTAAAGTTTGCCCTGACTATATCTGAACTCTTGTAAGCCTCAGTTGAAGTAAGAAATAGGAAGACACTTCCTAAAATGTGGCACGACGGCAAGATGACATTGTTCTTCAGTGCGTTATGCTGAGTTAGGGAAAGCTGAAAGGATGAAGTCCCCACTTCTTCGGAATGTAGGAGGAGGTCCTTGTGAAACCACCTGGTTTATGCAGAATTAAGTGGAAGCTGCCAGAAGTCCCCAGATTTTCCTTTTCAATCTGCGTGCAGACACTCTTCAGTTCTAGTCGATACTCATAATAAATACAAGAATGTAACTTTCCTTCCTGGCTTGGGTTAATGCAGTGACTTTCTCTTTTCTTTTTCTGTCCCCTGTTTTTTCTCTCTGTCTGGCTCTCTCTTTCACACACATGCACACACGTGTACACGCACACACCCCAAAGCAGCGCATCATATGAATGGTTCAACACTTTAATTTTTTACTTAAAAGAACTTACAAAGTAGCATTTTGTCTTTATCAGAGAAAAAAAGTCATTAAAGAAAATAAAGTTTAAAGCAGCTATTCTCGCTGTATTTCATGTGGGAATGATGTAACTGAACTGGTTCCGGTATGGGCAGTTAGTTGTTTAGGGATTAGTGGGGTCAAGATTCATCTTTTTCTTTAAAGATACTATCTTTGATATAAGCTGTAAGTAATCAAAACTACTTGAGATTATAACTTATTCATGACACAAGAAACAGCACTTCATTTTATAGCATTTTTCTCTATACACGATAATATCTCTCAATGAGGAAAAGCAGATGGTACCTCTGAAATCTTGAATTTGCCATTTAGGCATTTTTTATTCTAGCAAACATCTTTTTCCTTATATGTCATAGTTAGCATGAAAAAAAGTGATTGAAAACTTCAATCTAAGTAAAATAGCACATGCAAAAAGATTGAAGGCTATGGAAATAGGAAGCATTAAAAACGCAATCTCTCAACCTAAAAATGTTTTACACTTCTTACACCTGACATCTGTGAAATGTTCTCACTGTTCCCCCAAGTGTGTGAACGTGCTTTCACCTGACACAGTCACCAGTGAATTTACCCTAGTGTCAGGGTGAATCAGTGCGGCTTGACTATCCTCCATCAGAAAATGTCAGAGGTATTGGTAATCTTGTTACCAATTGGTAACACTTGCCATCCATAAGTTGGTGAATATGATTTTATTTTATTTGGTACCAGGAATTGAACTCAGGACCTTACACTTATCTGGCAGGTGCTATGCCTCTGAGCTATCACCCCGGCCCCAAGTTGGTTAATTTTAACAGAGTTTAATTAATAAAAAGAATCTGTCCATGGCTATGCGCAGGGTCAGGGACTTGTGAGGAAGTGGGCGATTGTCCGGGGCTCCTACCACACTTTGCTTCAAGGCAGAGAGAGACGTGAGGAGAGGGCCACCTGCATGAACCTGCGGCCTCTGGTGAAGGGGAACAGGGGTGGAAGACAAGGTCCTAGGGAGCACAGAGCCTGAGAGCTCTCTCTCTCTCTCTCTCTCTCTCTCTCTCTCTCTCTCTCTCTCTTCTCTCTCTCTCCCCCTCCCCCCTCCCTCCCTCTCCTCATTGGCCAAACCCAACTGCAAGCAAAGGGCAAGTAAGGCCACTCCTCTGTCCACGCAGTTCCATCTCCCGGAAGAGCCTGGTGGAACAGGATGGAGAACAGACTCAAAGAGACCAACAAAAGGTAGTCAGCCCAGTTATTCCTCATCGTGAAAGTCTTACATGGACAAAATGGCAACACTTGCCCCTGCCCCTGGAAATACAGCCATCTTTGAAAAAAAAAATTTAGGTTAGTCAACCTTCGCGTTTTCATTAAGTGTACTCAGGCAGGGCCAGGGCTCATCGTGACACGGGCCAAAGCCACCTGGCAAGTTACTGAACCCTCTATCTCAACTTTCCTCATGTGCATAATAAGACTACTTTGATTTACTACAAAATTATATGCAAAACAAAGGAAGTAAGAGCTCAGCTGTTCAAGAGAGGTGATTAGGAACCAACCACACACTGACCCTGTTCAGCGATGAGATGGAAACCTCAACTGAGGTTCAAACTTGCTGCAGAAAATAGCTGGGCTCCGCACAGCACATTACCTAGCCCATATCCTGGGGCCTCCCATCATCAAAGGAACGACTGTTGCCCCAAAAGGAGGCGGTGCTGGCCAGGGGGAACAGTGGCCAGCTTTTGGGTTTAATCCCCAGTAAATTATTTTTGTTCCTTTGACCTGGAGACCAAGATTACTTGCCGTGATCTAATCTAGATTAAGCACTCAATCCAGTGAAAATGAGTAAATCAGCTAAAGCAGGTAATCCTCATAATTAGAGAGGTATTTGTGGCAATGTAAGCTGACAGACAAGAGAAAAACAGGTGTGGGACATCACCCTACAGGGTACACCTCTTTGTGGAGCAGAAAACAGCTTTACTTGGGAAAAGCTCACAAGAGTGGGTGTACCAGCGTGTAGTGCAGAGAAAGGAGCATAGATTTTGGGGATAAAAGAAAAAGAGATGTCTCGTAGCACTGTGACCACCCCAGCAACCTGCTGAACTCCCTACCTCAACTTTCCTTGTGTGCAAAAGAATATTTTGACTTGCTACAAAGTCACATGCAAAATGAAGGCAATATTTTCCATCCAGTATCAAGCAGGTATTGAGGGTTATTTCCTTTCGAAGATCTTGAGGCATAATTGATAGACAAAATCCTCAACATACATAATTTGAAGATCAGATATAGCAGTTTTCTAAAAAATATTTCTTTCTTTCTTTTTTTTTTTTCCAGCACTGGGGATTGAACATGGAACCTTGTGCTTGCCAGGCAAGCGCTTATGCCACTGAGCTATATCCCCAGCCCCTCTAAACAGTATTTCTTTATTGAGGTATAGTTGATATGTGATACGTGGCATATTTAAAGTGTATGATTTGATGAGTTTTTACTGATTTCATACACCAATGAAAAAATTCCTACAATTCCTGAGGAAACGATCCAAATGTCCATCTTCTGATGAATGGCTTAACAAAATTGTATTTATTTTCATATGATGAATTACTAAGCCACAAAAAGGAACACCATATCTACTCTGAAGGAACACCATATCTACTCTGAAGTCTTCTCCAGCCCCTTGACAAACCTCATTCCAATCCCACCATAAAGACACTGAGATATATCTATGTTATGTTATATGCATCGACAGTTTATTCCTTTCAGTGGTGAGTAGTTTCTATTATAGTTGACTTTGCTACCTCTTAGTAGACATCACTCAGTTATGTTTGAATTACGTTTCCCTTCTTGTTTCCTTATAATAGTACAACAAAATTTTTCATAATTTCATCGTAACACAAATGTCCTCTCCATTGATATTACCCAGGAGCGGCACAATTTATAAGAATCGAGCAGAAATGCAGTTAACAGTCATTGTGTTTACTCATTCCTGGTTTAGATTGAGTTTAGAGCTGAGGGCCGGGTCCTTCATAGGCCTGTTTCTGCTCTTTATTATAAATGAGCAACCTGAGGAAACGATCCAAATGTCCATCTTCTGATGAATGGCTTAACAAAATTGTGCTTATTTTCATTTTAAAGGGCTTTTTTTTTTTGGCAGAACCAGGGATTGAACTCAGGCCCTTGTGCATGGCAAGCAAGTGCTTATTCTACTGAGCTATCTCCCCGACCCCTGTGCTTATTTTCATATGATGGATTATTAAGCCACAAAAAGGAAAGTATACTGATACAACTTAGAACATGTTGAGCTGTAGGGGACCCAGGTCAACAATTTCTGACACTGTCAGTCAAGTGGAAGACCCAATACTATTATGGGCTACTGGACTCTTTTAGAATATTTTGCTGAGTTAACACACCTATAATATTCAAATGACAGAACTAAACAAAAAAGGGGATATATAAATGAATGTCCATTTTGTATCTGTGTATTCAAAGTGGTTAGGATAGATATATAGTTACATTCTCTTAATGAAAAGAGGGATTTGTTGTAATAGTGTTTATAAATAGGATATCATGTCTGTATCTTGTACAGCAATTAACCACTAGGAAGAGAGTATGCAATGTGTTAATTATTGAAATTGTCCTACCAATTTGATTTGAAACTGTCTCATTGCTATTTGTCTCTCAATAAAATTATGGAAAAATAAATAAATAAAATGAATACAATTTAAAAAAAGGATTTAATAGTGGTGCAGCTATGGATATACTCAAATACATACTTTGTGACATTGCATTATATCTCAGTGAAGCTACGAAAATATGTTCAAGAACAGCAATTAATTTAATTTCCCTTTTTCATTTGCTAAAGCAAAACATAAAGCTGTTTACCTCATTGGCTGGCTGCACCTGCATTCCCGGGTCTTGACACGGTGGAAATTTCTAGTAATAGGAAGAAAAAAATGGGCCATCTGCAGATCAACTGTACTTGCCAATATGCAGTATTTCAATGCTGTATTGTTCAGATTTACTTGAAATGATAAGAGGCCTGTGGTTACTTTGAATATGTATTTTTTTTTGCCTTTTCCTTTCTTTTTAAAAATAACATGCGTTCAGAGTGTCTAATCGGTCTTTCCTCTGGCCTGATTTATTTAAGTAGATACAGGATATCCTGTCAGTAAAGCATTTTAGCTCAGTCCGATTGCTTATCAAACATGTCTAAAGGCACTCGCTAGAACTGAGTGAGTGCAGGAGAGGTCCAAATAACTCGGCGTAGTCCTGGGAAAGGAAAAGGAGCCTGAGCAGGTGGGCAATGATTCACTGACTCCTGGGGGGTACTAAGTTTCAGGCAGCTGTGGAGGATGGGAGAGGCCCAGACTTCCTTTCTCACCGTCTTCACCTGGTGAGCCGGCTTCATCCCACAAGCGTCTAGCTGCTCCGCCGCTGTGACAACACAGCCACCTGGTCCGTGCCAGCAATTCTCCTGGGTACTCGCTGTCTATCATGGAGAAAAGGAATTTTTTCCCTCGTTCTTGAAAATCTTGCTAGCCAAGGTTTGAGCTTTGGTGTCATTTAGTTTAAACTTTAAGGTGAATGAAAGAGATCGTGAATGCAGGACACAAAGCAAAGCTGATGCGACTCTGCGCAGAAATGACACCTTTGCTTTGGAGGAAGTTGGTTTTTTCTGAGATGGCTTGAAAATGTGTCTAACAGTTGGTGCATTTAGCTTGAGTTTTCTGTTTATTCTCCAGTGTCTGTTGTACTACAAAACATGCAACTTCCTGTTTTGCTGCAGCATCAAAAAGTGGTGGGCGATTCCTTAAGTATTATTCTGGAAAGCTACCATTCATTTCTGTATTAAGTATCTGCGCTGTAAAATATATCTGGAAGAGGGCTAAGTGGCTGCTTCAGCCAACGGAATGGCAGTGGAGGTACGAACACACATAGTCCTAGATTTTGTCCCTCTCCGTGTGTGAAATATACCATACATTAAAAGCATGTATGCACACACAGATATAAAGACTATTACTCAGGGCCGGCCAAATAGCTCAGTGGATTAAAGAGCCTGCAAGCAGGCTCAGGGGCCGGGGTTCAATCTCCAGGCCTGCCGTGCCGGCCCAGTTCCCGAGGCAGGCTGTGACGGCGATTGAGACTGGACATGGTGGCGCGCACCTGTAATCCCGGCTCTTGGGAGGCTGTAAACAGGCGGATCACTGAGTCCGATCTAGTAGTGAGACTCTGAACACCCTGTAGACCCTTCCCTAAAATACAAATAAAAAATAACAACAAAAAAAAACCTTATTACTAAAATAAATGCATGTACTTTCCCAACTTTTAAATTATATATATATATATATATATATATATATATATATATATATATATATTTGGGGTACTGTAAGCAATTAATTGTAATGCCATAGATTGCCTTCTATTTATTTTCATATATCTTTTTCCTATGATGACTTCGAGCAACTATCCTCAAGCCAATATAAATATTTCATAAATATCTGGCCACTCGGGTCCACACTGGCTGCACATTGGCTCACATCTTTCAACAAGAGAAACACTATATATGAAGAATGAACACATGACACAACAGCTGAGTACAGTGAGAAGCTACTCTTGAGTGTTTATCTCTCGGGTGAGGGCAAACACACTTCATCCTTGCAATTCTGAAGGCCTTGTTTTCATTTTTAAGCGGTGCTACATGTTGAACCCCAGATCTAGAGCAGCTTAGCTGCTAGGTAGGCACTGAGCAGCTGAGCCACGGGACCTCAGCTCACGCCACGCGTGGAGAGCGGGGTCCGCCTTCCCCTGCTGCGCGCGCTGGCTCTCACCCAGTGCGCTGCCTGGGAGGGGCAGGCTGGACCTTCCGCTGAACCCAGGCACCTTCTGCCTGGCTTCTTTCTTTTTATGAGCTTTTTCTACATGTATCTCCGGAAGTGACCTGGGCTCTGAGAGTGCCCAATATGCTCACCATGCGCAGTAGTTCTCTTGGTACGTAGTTCTCTTGCCCTTATCTTGCTTGCCTACAGCAAGGCCTACAGCATGCTGGGGGACACCGTGGACTCTTCCAGTTGGGCAGCCGAGGGCCCGGGGAGATGGCTCAGTAGAATAAGCGCTTGCCGGGCAAGCTCAGAGCCTGAGTTCAATCCCTGGTTCCACAAAAATAAATAAATAAATAATAAATAAAAATTCAGACCCAGCTGGGTAGTCGTACATTTCTGTGGCATTCTTGTGAAAAGTGCCTGTTGCCTTGTCTACAGTCCCACCCACTGGTGGATTCACATGTATGTGGCCAAAGGAACAACTCTCTATTTTCTAAAAGGCCTTGAGAACATGTACCGGGTTCCTCTCCTATGCAAATTAGTGGAAGACAGAAAAAAACTACTGTACTACTTTTAAATACTGATGTGTTCTTTTTCCTAATTCTATTCCCTTTATTTCCTTCTTCCTAGAAAGCCATAATCTAGATGTTTTACTTACCACACTCCTATTTTTATTTATCTTATTTATCTTTACCAGTTTTTGAACTTTACATAAATGGAATCCTGCTTTTTTTCATGGTTTGCATTTTTTACCCAAAACTATGTTTTGAGATGCACCCAGGTGGATGTTTGTAATGGTAAATCATTCATTATCACTGCTTTTTTTTTTTTTTTTTTTTTTTTTTTTTTTTTGGAACCGGGGCTTGAACTCAGGCTCTTGTGCTTGCCAGGGAAACACTTATTCTACTGAGCCATCTCCCCACTCCCCCTCCCATTGCTGCTATTAATTGGTGTATCAGTGTTGCTCTTCCACTGTGCAAAACACACCACACCGTATTATCCATTCTCCCCTTTTGGGCAGTTGGGTGGTGTCCAGCTGTTTTGCTCTGATAGCCAAAGTTGCTCTGCATATTCTGCATAGGTCTCTGTTCACACCCAGAAGCTTTTGTAGGACACATACTAGGAAGATGAGTTGCTAGGTCATAGAGTATACAAATATCCAATGTTTTTAGAGTTGCAAAGTGTTGTAAAATAGTCACACCACTTTACTCTTCATTAGCAGTGTTAAAGAGTTGCAATGTTTTCACTTGTCAACATATAATGTTCTCTAATTTTATTTTTATTTTTTATTTTTATTTACTTTTTTATATCCAAAATGTGTTTATTGGGATGGCTTCCCACTTCTTGACTGAGGGTATACTGGTGGTGCTGCTTCCTCCTGAAGGAACATCCTTCTGTGAGCCTTGCTTTCCCTCCTGTAGGCTGGCACAGGACAGTGGAGCAGCCAACACACAGAACTACCGTCTGTGCATGGCTAAAGACTGTGGTGATTTTATAGCATCCTGGGCATTTCACGTCCATGGAGTAGGAACTGGGGCTCTGCACCAGGCGCTTCTTCTTGTGCTTCCTCTTCTCCTCCTCCCAAGAGGGATGAAGGAGAGCTTTTGCGAGAGGCATGTTCTCATGGGGAACATGGTCGTCACCACTTGAAAGGCTGTTCTCTAATTTTAATTTTGAATAATTTCATTGTGGGTATTTTCTGTGATTGTTTTTAAAAAATAATTGCTTAAGATATCTTTTTTTAACTAGTTTTGTTGCAGATGTATTCTGTGGTTCTTTTTAAAATAAATACTTGTTTAAGATAATTGTCTTGGTACAAGAGGCAGAAACAATTGACTTTTGTTTATTGCATTTGATAAATTTAAAAGGACTCTTATCATGGGATTCCACCTTGACCTTTATTTTCGACTACAACCAGCCTGAGCATCTTATTTCTTTTGTGTTTTTCTTTAAATCATAGTATTATTAGATGTTTTTCACTTACAAAAGTACTGTAACGTGTTTTTGTTTGTATGAAGAAAACAGCACAAAGATGGGTGGAGAGGCAGCCTGTCTCTCCTCTTGCTTCCCTTATTTCTCCTCTGCCGCAGGTATCAGTGTTCATATTTTCAGAAACCAATCCACGTTTTTATTCATGCTCATGAATATGTAACAAGTGTAGGTTAGGGAAACAGTACCCTATTATTATATCAAAAGTAGTTGAATATCAGCAATTTTGTGTAGTTCATCATACGCATGTATAACTTGTCATTGTCTATGGGGAATTTTCAAATATTAGCATTACAATTCAAGTATGTTTTAGAAGACAGATGTCACAACACTCATCTAGCTGGTGAGTGCAGTCTTATGTATTCACATTAATGATTGCGTGGTTTTTAATCCATTCTTTTTTGTGCCGGGGCATTAGCATTGACATTGTCTCTTTGGTTGCGATTGTGTCCCCTCAACTAGTTTATCCTTTTACACCTGAGATTCGCTCTAGTCGAATCCCATCAGGAGCTTTGAGAAGCCAAAGGGCATACGTTGCAATTAATATTTACTGCCTGTTTCATTCCCCAAATGTGGCAGTTCAGGCTCCCATTAACAAGCCTGAGATTGTTTTCTATGTTCTGCTCATCTCCATCTATTACCACTCTCTTGGGTGAAGAATAGTGTTCTATTTTAATTTGCATGCGTTTGAATTCTGGTGAGGTTAAACTTATTTTCATATGTTTTTTACTGATCTTTGCATTTTCACTTTGAATTGTAATTTCATAATCTTTTCCTATGTTTTTATAAGTTATTCAAGTCCTTCAACTTACACAGTTCTTACTTTATTAATGATAATACTTTGGTCTATATGATACAGTTATTTACTTCACTGTCTTGTCAATTTTATTTGGTTTTCTTTGCTGTGTTTTTGTTAACTTTTTAATAATTTAGTCACTGATTAATTAATTTAGACCTGTCTTTTCTATCATGGCGTTTGGTTCCTCACCTTGCTCATTACATTTCTTTTATCCAATATAATGGTTATCGTATTTGCTTTTCTTCTAATATTTTAAAAATACTTTTTACATATATGTATTAAATCCATCTGGAATACACTCCTATGGTTTAAGTTTGTCCGCCCCACCTCATATGGGACTTTAATTCTCAAAGATAATGGTATTGGAAACAGCCCTGCTGGTGTGTTCAGAAGCGAGGGCTTTGAGAGTGATTGTGCAAGATCATTTGGGTGGAGCCTCTAGGCGCAGTTATAAGAAGAAGAAAAAGACCAGAGGACGAATGTGTGATGGGGTCAGATCGGGCAGGGGTCCTAGGTTGAACCTGTGCTGCGCTGCTTGTACTTGCACCTTCCAGGGGGCCGGGGAGATGGCCCAGTAGAATAAGCGCTTCCCTGGAAAGCGCAAGGCCTGAGTTCAATCCCCGGTTCTGCCAAAAAAAAAAAGCAACCACTTGCCCCTTCCAAAAATGTGATCCAAAACAAGCCTCCTTTTTAAATAAAGTAGCCCTCCCCCAGGATTTTATTATAGTAATGAAAAACTAATTAATACATTTTGCATATGATGTGAGGCATGAATAGAACTTTGTTCCTCCAAATGTGTTGCCATATCTGATAGTATAATGTTTCGATAGCATACGTTTTATTTTATTTTTTACATATTTGGTACAGGGTCTCACTGTGCAGCTCAGACTGTAGTGATCTCCTGTTTTCAGCCTCCCCAGTACTGGGATTCTAGGCATGTGCCACCACACTGGGACTCGGTGCCAGCTCAGTGGGTGGGGGGCGGGGGGACCGATGATGCTAGGGATCGAACCCCAGTCCACTGCATTTGCCTAAGCCGGCACTTAGTTTGCTGAGCTATCTCACTGGCCCTTGATAGCATGCTTTTAAAAATGAAAACTCTGCTGAATTGAAGCACCACCTTTGTCAGATATTGTTTCCACGTATACCTGGATCAGTCTCTATGCTTTGTATTTCCTGTGTCCCTGTGATACCGTTATGTTTATGATAGTTTTAGTTTAGGTTTTAATATCTGAAAAGCAACCCTATCCCATTTCACTTTTTTTTCTGTTCCAATATTTCTTAATATTGGTTGGCATCTCTTTTCCATATAAACTTTAAAGTCATTCTGTTATCTTCCAAGAAGAAACAAACAACCACTGGAAGTTCCATTTATTTTTTTTTCCACTCCACTCTTTGGCTGAATTTTATTAATATAACATCTGCCTTTCCTAATTCTTCTCTTAGGAAAGGCATCACTCCCTAGTCACTCAAACTAAGCCTCCTCCTTCTCTTCCTCCTTGACCTCCCCACCTATACTCAAGAACTATTAACAAGACATCTTTTTATATTTCTCTGGAATTAATCTCTTCTTCAACAGAGTTCTCTTTTGCAATTCCATTTCTTCATAAGTGTGGCATGTGAGATTTTAACTATTCTGTTCCAGTTTTTTCTTCTTCAGTCAATGATAACAGCTCCACATCTGTTTGCTTTCGTAGTTCTTCTATCATGGTCATAGTTTTATTCAAAGTAGTATAAATGCGGCTCTTAATCTCTTTCTGTTCAATAGCAACAGGTTTAAAACGTGCATACAAAGTTTGGTATCGAGACTTTATGGCTGATAATTCCTTTATGAGCATTACTGGATTTTTCTCTCCTGCTGAATCATGATGATTAGACTTGATTTCATATTCCAGCTTGTTTTATCTTCTTTTTTCAATTCTTTTTCCTTTTTCTCTCATTTTTTTCTTTCTTCTTCCAATTTTGCTTGCATATATCATCAGCTCTAGCTTATCGACCTCGGCCTCCATGTTGAATAGTTGACATTCCTCAGACCCCGGCGTTGCTTAAGCTGCAAATCTTACTAGCACTGAGGATCTCTATTGGACAGCTGTGATAGGATTTTAATCTGTAATCCCAGTACTTGGGAGGCTGTAAACAGGTGGATCACTACACACCCAATCTACATAGTGAGACCCTGTAGACCCATACCCCTGCAAAGGGAGATCCCAATGTTCTGAGCTTCCGAATTTGGAGAGTGGTAAATGAACATGAACATCCTCTGGTTTTACATTTAACATCTTCATCTCACGTAAATCAGAAGATGGAGACTTTTTCCTTTTTGCTTCCATAACAATCTCGGATGAAGATCGCCGCCTCCCGAGCTTCCTCCTGTCCATCTTCCCTTTGTCCTGCTGGAGTCACAGCTGTCGGCACTGTCACCTCAAGACCCCTCGGGCTTGGGGGAGGCTGGAAGTTCCATTTAAATCAAGTATTATATTATGGTTTTTTTTCCCATCCAGAAAATGTATCTTTTGGCTCAAGTCTTGTTTCATATCATTTAATAATATTTTTAATGGTTTTCAAATAAGTACAATAGCTTTCTTTTAAAATACATTTCTCAGTATGCAAAAGAATATTTTTCTTTTGGAGTTATCATTTAGGAAAATGGATGGTTCTGAGATAAATTTAGAAACATAAACTGAAACATGTTTTCAGCCTAAATCACAGAGAAATCATGAATTCAGATCCCAGGGAGCTTATGTGCTAGGCTGGACTTAAGAAATAACAGAAGAAGAGCTTTGGATCACCTGCCCTAATTTCAACTTTGCTACTGAGGGTCAACATCATTGTTGATGAAGGTAACTCAGTGATCACACTGTGATTGTGTATATTGTTTCTTCTTTTAGTTTAAACATCCCTAGAATTTGGTTAAAAGTAAAAGCAAATAGAGAGGGCTGGTGAGATGGCTCAGTGGTCTAAAGCACCTACTTAGAACAAGCTTAGCAAAGCACAGGGACCGCGGTTCAATCCCCCAGCACCACATGCCAGCCAGCCCTGCACCCTGGTGGGCTGAGCTGGCCACACACACACACACACACACACACACACATAAATAAATAAATTTAAAAAAAGCAAATAGAGAAAATGAATACATTTAAGTTTAAATATTGTTCAAAGCATCATCTTATTTGTTGGAGAGAAGATCATTTTAAGATCTAAACATCAAGATATGTGCTCTTGGTAGGTAGGAATATCACTTACTGGAAGAATTTTATCACTAGTTTGAAATACGGTGCAGGGCTGGCCAGATAGCTTAGTGGACTAAAATGCCTGCTTAGGCAGAGCGCAGCAGCTGGGGTTTGATCCCTGGCATGCTGTGCCAGCGCCGCTCCCAGGGCACGTTGATACGGAGATTGAGACTGGGCATGGTGGCACGCACCTGTAATCCCAGTGCTTGGGAGGCTGAAAACGGGAGGATCACTACAAGTCTGATCTGTGTAGTGAGACCATATAGACCCTGTCCTAAATACATGAAAAGTAAAAATAAAAATAAAAACAACCAAAAAGGCTTAATAAAAAAAATGTTTTTAAAGACTTAGCTATAGCTAAATGAGAAAAAAGATGAAAGCCAAGAAACAAAAGCCATGTAAGAAAATTTGCAATATCACAATGAGGGATATCTCTAAAAATTGTTTAAAAAAGAAAAAAAGCAATTGCAAAATGTATTACAAAATAATTAGGAAGACATTCATTAACTAGAGCTTCGAATAAAAAATTAGATGGCTTAGGTTAAGTTGTGAAAATCAAGTTGGTCTAAGACCAGCCATTCCTAGAAGAAAACGTATAT